GCTCGAGGCTCGGGGATCAGAACAATGTCAAGTGAAGAGAAACACACTGGGGGTTCGCCGAGCCACTGGAGTTCCAGGGGAGGCTGAGGAGGGCGCGGCCACCTCATCCTCGTCCCGCTTCTGCTGGGTTCCGCTTTGTCCCTTGTTTTTTTCTTTTTTTGCTTTCTGTGTGCGTGCGATTGGTGTGGCCCCTCCCCTCTTGCCGTGCTTAACGTGACGAAAGCACGATTCCTGTAAATGTGTAAACTAAGGGGATGGTTGGATTTTTTTTTCAATGTAAACACTAAAAACAAAATGGACAAAAAAACACACAAAGGTTTTATGAACAGCAGACTATGTAAAGGCATTTTAGTATCAAATTTTTTATTGATAACTTGCTTAAGAATAAATATATGGACTATTGTACAGGTTTTCGGGGCTCCAGGGTCCTGTGTCCCACGGTACTCCTGGGGGGGCCAGGGCTCCAGGGGCTCAGCAGAAGCCTCTCGTTCCCAGAGCTGGGGCTTCTGGACCAGGCCTCCCCACTGCCCCCTGTGTAGCCCCTCAGGGCACTGAGCCTCAGGCCAGGAAAGGGTCATGTGACTGGAATGGGGTTAGGGTGGTCTTAGGGGTGGGGTCCCCCCAGCCTGAGCCAGAGTCCGGGACCAGAGTAGGTTCCGCTGGAGAGGACAGGGGCAAGAGCAGTCTCCGAACCACCATGCTGGGCAGGGCCTCCGATGTGAATGGCCACCCTGCGAGGACCGGCCCACGGCCCGGGTGTGGGAACACAGATCAGTGCACCCCTAGCTGGAGGGAGCCCTGTTGATGAGGCTGCAGACCCAGAGGAAGCTGGATGCTTGCAGCGGGTGGAGGACCCTCCTTGTCCCCTCTCTGCCACCGGGATCTCGGGAAGCTGCGTGAAGTCGGTGTGCATCTGTCCCAGTGGGCCCCGAGTGCCTGGTCACAGCTGTGCCCACGGCCAGGAAACACGGTCCTTGGAGGATGGAGTCCCTGAGTCAGCAGCGCCTCCGTGGGCCAGTGAGTGCGGAGGGAGGTGCTCAGGGACCGACCATGCCTCAGGCTGCCGCGAGGGCAGGGAGCAGGTGAGGATCTTGGCCGGGCCCTGAGTAAGGAGGGCCTGCTGGACCAGGTTTCCGGGTCGGGGGTCCTCTGTGGTAAGAAAGGAAAGATGGGTGGGACCAGACACTCCCTGTGGGCTCAGGAGACCCTGACTTCTGTCATCTCAATGACTTTTTGGGGCAGAAGCCAGCCCGGAACAGGGAGGAAGGCCTGCAGCTGTTGCCCCGGCTCCTGGAGCCCTGAGCCAGGCCTTGCTGCCACCTCCTGCCCACCCCAGGAGCTTGCCTGATGGAGCAGGTCGCACAGAGAGGCCACAGGCAGCCAACAGGGACTCTGGGGCAAGAGAGCCGGGTGACGCCCAGGCTGGAGAGGTGACATCTGCCTGGGAAGCACACAGGAAACCTCTGCCAGCAGGTCTTGGGTTCAAATCCTCCATTCATCCAGCACTGCCTGGTGCTAGCAGTGTACCAAGCAGTGAGCCACGGTGGGAGTGAGCCACCCATGGCCCCATCTTCACGACAGGCAGATGGGAGAGAGAGAACAGTGGGGCCCAGCAGCTATACCCGGAGCTACACAGCCGAGATAACCTCGCCCATGGAACCCTAAGGTCAGCCACCCCCATCTCAGCCAAAAGTGTGGTATCAGGGCTGAGCCAGGCCTGGTGGGGCCAAACTGCAGCTCCCTGCCCCCCACTGCATGTGGCAGCAGGGACATCGCACCTGGCAAAGCAGACAACTGACTGTCTCTGGGGCAGTCCAGGTGGACTCCCTGGAAGAAGTAATACCGGGGCTGTCTTGGAAGAGCCCAGGGCAGGGGAGAGGGTAGTGAAGGAACAGCTGGGGTGGCCAGCAGGTGGTCAATAGGGGCAGGGGGAGGTAGGGGACTGATGCTAGAGCTAGAGGGTGGCAGAGTCCAAATCTCAAGCCCCTGAGAACCGCGTGAAGCCTGTGTTCTCTCTTTGACAATGGATGCCCCAAGAGCTCTAAGCAGAGTCTGCAGTCAAATTGAGGCACTCGTTCTGCAGCCTGGGAGTCAGGGTTGGAGGTCCCAGGCCAGCCAGGCACCTGGGAGTCAGGGTTGGAGGTCCCAGGCCAGCCAGGCATCTGGGGGTCAGGGTTGGAGGTCCCAGGCCAGACAGGCACCTGGGGGTCAGGGTTGGAGGTCC